CCCCAAAACCCCAAAACCCCAAAACCCCTGAATAATTCTGAAAAATTGAATTTTAAGTGCAAGCATCATATAAGGAATCTTCTACTTTGACCCTTTTAGGGATCGGAAAATCAGTATCATACCAATTTATCAGATACTTCCAGATTCAGGCTGGAACTAGGCTGTAGAATTAGAAGAAAATACTACCAATAATCAAGTCCTTCGACTAAGTTTGGTTTCAAGGACTTGTACCTATCTGAAACATATTGAATGCTCGTATGATTTATAGGGATTCCATTGTCTTCTAAATACATGTAAGGCCATCCGTTAAAATTTGGGATGATTCTATCTGTATTTTTCTCTATCATTTCATCAAATATCAAGAAGATTGATGAACAAAACACATGATAGAAGTTAATAAAAAATTCTAATGGATTTTACCTCGTCTCGTGACTGAGGATCGACCTCAAAGTCCTGATAGGAGTCGATAATTTCTTATTTTCTGTGGTTTCTCATACTTTCAGCTATATTGGGTTATCAAAGATATTCAAAGATTCCCGATCGGGTAAGAATTTAGAGCAAAGTAAATTTCTGGTCTCATTTGAATATTTTGTAACTACGTACTCTATGAATTCTTGAGATTCTGATATGTGATTTTCTAGGTCTCATAGCTTGAGTTCTAGGCTGAAATTAACATAATCAGTCCATTTAGCCCACCAGGTGAAGTCTATTATATACTTTCGTTCATTCTCTAGACGTTTAATACCAATACGTACCTTCTGCATACTTGTCAGAGTGGATAAAGTCTCTCACAGTATCGGCAGAGTGCTTATCTTCTTCATTTTTATGATAGAAATCATTATTTTGTTTCTTTTTTTCTTAAAAATTGCTGAATTTCTCTAAGAATGTATTCTTTCTCCTCATTTGCAGTCAGCCTCTTACAGTACTTCCCACAAGGGAGGTTGCTAGGAAGCATGCTCACTTTGGGGAGCTGGTGAGCAGAATCTTCATGCTCATCTGGGTCCTCGATACAACCTTGGTCTATAAGAAATTGATAGGGAAGATACCTCTGTAGGAACTGGCGCATGAAAAGTTGTCAGAGTCCCTCCTGTGGGCCGGAATTCTTCATATTCACCTTGTGTAGCTCTTCTTTATATCAGTTAACACAGGTTTTACAGGACCATCCTCAACTTGGATAGTAGAGTCTAGATTAGAAGCATATAAATTTGCTAATTTAAGATTGATCGGACTTTCCCTTGGAGATTTTGAGCCAGTTTTTGTTGAAAGATAGCAAAAAGCTTGATTATCATCATAACCTCTCAAAGGAGTTCCTCTTTGGAAAACCTTTGGAAATGGATTATTATTCAGATTATTCCCTCTAGGGATAACTGCTTGAAGACTTTTATAACGTTGATTTTTCATTGGTTTAATTTCCTTGGAAGGAACTCGCATCAAGGTTGGGTAAGCACCTCTGCTGCTCCTTCTCTTTGGAACTTCGATCTCCAGCTGAGATCTATCAGTTATCTTCCTTACTTACTGAGGTACCAGATGGAAGATGAGACCAGGTCCTTCATTGTCAACATCATCATACTCAAGATTCTCCTCTGCTGCTGAAAAATTAAGGTGTTTATTTAGGTCAAATCTCCTTCTCGTTGAGAACTCTGACATCTTCAATGGCTTGTTCAATCTACAAAAATCACGGGACTTCGTACCTCATCACAGAGCATGAAATCAGCCTCTGAGAGAGTTTGCATGAACAGGTCTTGGCTTTGCAAGAGATCTGAGTTGAAATAGTCGAAACTTCTGATCATGCATTTTGACTGATTTGGGATTCAGAAGGAAGGGCCTCACCTATTAAGTTTTATTTTGGGAAAATAATTATTTACCTTCTGAGATTGGAATTGTCATTTTCTTTGTCAATCTCGAGTTTTTGGGAAGGCTGTAAGGCTACAGATAAGGGAAAGCCTTACTTTGCTTCACAGTGGACCGGGTGTTGCTTTGTTTGTAGCTCTGCTCATTCTGTATTTTTGGAAAAGGTTGATTGCTAATGCTGTATTTCATCATCTATAACTTAGTTTTTACAAAATGAGTCAATCAGAGGAGTATAATTTAAGATTTTTTAGGAGTTTTACTAAAAATGTCCTTTTTGCTATGTTCTTCAGATTTTATCAATATTTTGGCAAAGATTTGAGCTAGCTAATTGGTTTGAAAAGTCATATTTCATAACTCCATTATTAAAGAGAGACTTACTTAATTATATTTTAAATTTAGAATTTTCATTCAAACGGAATCTTCTCGGGGTTTTGGGGTTTTGGGGTTTTGGGGTTTTGGGGTTTTGGGGTTTTGGGGTTTTGGGG